GTCAATTGCTCAGATGACTGAAAATCAACTGCATTGGATAAAAAGTCAACTATGGTCAATATACAGTCAAACTTCAAGATTTTTGGTAAACATCAATATTTTGAAGTGATATTCATCATTTTATCAAGGATTGATCATGATCCATCAAGGAAAACCCTCAAATCATCAGAGGTAAAAAATTGCCCAAATTATGGTTTTGACCTAGTGCATGACCTAATGGTTTGAAGCATGATATCAAGAACTAAAGTACAACATCTTGACCTAATTACATGGATCAAAACATTTCCAAAGATGCAAGTGATTGATAGTTACAGAATTGAATCATCTGATGAAAAGTCAACAGTCACTCAAAAGTCAAACTTTGACTTTGGTCAACATTGGAATTCAAAAGTCAAGAATCATCAAGATATTAACAACTACCAAACTTGATCATCAAGAAATCAAAAAGTCAACAAAAGTCAAATTTGAAATTTTTTCTAACACTTAGAAAAATTCTAATTGTTTTTGTTCTTAACAATAACCCTAACTTCACAAGCAAGTTTCCTCAAGATGCAAGTTGATTCAAGGAAAACTTTCAACATGAAAGTTGTAGGGATTGATGAATTCTACATTTGTTAATGTGGGACGATCCTAAAAAATGCTTGGATTAAGAGATATAAGCTCGTGAAGTTATCATATTTTTATCCAACACTTAGAATTTTTTTTACAAGTTTTGATCAGATTTTTGTCCCTACTTCATGGCCAATTTTCACCAAGTTTTCATTTGATTTAGCCAAAACTCACAACATGAAAGTAGTAGACAATGTTTCAAGCTTTCCAAAATGTCCCAGAACATAATTTTATCATGCTTGAGATAGGAGATTCAAAGGCATGAAGTTGGGCATCCATTCTTGAAATATATGTCATTTTGTGATGAACATAAGATCAAATCTCCAAGCCATGCTGCATAATCTTACTTTACCGACTTCTAACTTGCAAATCTCACCATAATTAAATGTTTACACAACTGATTGAATCATTATCCAAGTGTTTAAGCCATTTTCCAAATGATTTTTCTATTTATAGCACAAAGGCACCATTGCCATTTACATAAAGCATGCTTTATGCATTTTGTCAACTCTCCTTGAGCCTCTCACCTGTTCCTTCTGCATACACACAATTCCAAACAAGAAGCAACATGTATACAACTCCTAACCACCCTATGACCCATTGTACCATTGCATTGGAATCATGCCTTTGCAAGTTACTTCAAAACCAAGCTTCAAAACCATAACATGCTATCTTAAATTTCTGGTTACTTCCGGCCCTTAAACCTCTTGCCTATAAATAAAGGAAGTATTTGCAAGCTAACACACGAATTCATATCCCTCAAAATACCCTCATACTCTCTCAAACCAGAATTGGCATCAAAACTCCATTTGTTGCAATTTCTAACCTTAAAAACCAAACACTCAATCCACTCATGCGCTTTCATTCCAAATCATTCACAAAGCTTCTATAAACTATATAGAAGTGATCCAAACACATGAACCACTTCTATAATCATCATATCACGATCCACTATTTTATAAATCTACCATTGCAGCTTGGCTTAGTCAGAACAGTTGGGCAAGCTACAAGGTATTTTATCCATTGGAATAGCTTCAGTGAGGTTCAAAGAAGCTTAAGCAATCATAACATTGTACCTGGAATCATCCATACATGTTATGAGTCTCCACTTCAAGAGGTAAGTTTTCTAAACTATGATATCTTGATATGAGCATCCTTTGCATATTTATTCTAAAGAAAAATATAGATATCATGCCCCTGAAACTAACCATGTCCTTAGTTTTCATTTATGTTGATTGTGTAATGTGAATTTTGGATTTGAAGTTTCTGAGAAATTAGGGTTCAGTTTGGTACCAATAGAAATTCATTTTAATCTTTGGGTGTTAGCTTAAGTTACTTACATGGTTGAATTTGTGTTGAGATTTAGAACAAGTTTGGTGTTTACAGTTTTTGAAATGATTGAGAAACGAAGGAATTAGAATTTTCAAAATTTTTGTTGTTGTTGGCCACGCGAAGAAGATGAAATTGCATCTTCAAACTTTCAGAAACGAGTTTATAATATATTGAATGGTCGGCATGTAAGCTAACGGATGTATCACCACCTCAGTGGTTAAAGTGCGTGTCTGTTACTATAGGGACCTGGGTTCGAGCCCCAACGGTACCCTTTTGTTTTTCCATATTTTTCTTTTCAGGTCCAATATAACCAGACAACATGTGCATACCATGTACCCTTGTAATTTGGGCCATTAGATCTTATTCACCTCCATCCAACACACAAATTTGCTCCTCCATGATGTGCCTCCAAATGCTAGATACACCAAAATTTTCAGCAACGCGGGCCTCTTGCTTTTGGGCCCAGACAACTTCTGTTTCAGCCCCCCCCCCCCCCCCCCCCCCCAATTTCTTGTTATGAAGCAGGCCCATATCTTTTTTTTATTACTATGATTCAAACAAAAAAAAAACTTTGTTGGACCTCACATTTTATTTTTCTTTTCATACCTCCCCATTTTCTTTTACATCTCAAGTTTTTTATATTTTGCTTTTTTAGGCCCTTTTTTAAATTTCTTTTTAACTGGTTACTTTTTAAATTAATTTTATCATAAAATCATAAAAAATAGATTTAGGTTTTAGTTAATTATTTTTTTTTATAATTAAAAAAAAATCACTTTTAATCCTACTTTGTCTTATCTTGTGAACTAAAATTAGAATATCTTTTTTTTCTAAAACCTCAAAATTATTTTTTTTAACAATTGGTTTTCGCTTTTTAATTAAATTAGTTTTCTTTTTGATTAATTAAATTAATTGATTTTTTATTTTTAATTTAGTTTCTTTAGGTTTTACTAAATTTTTCTTATTTAGAAATTAATCTAATAAATTAGGTTAATCATTAAACCTTTTTTCCATCAAAAATCACAAAATAATTGCCTTTCTCTTTTCTTTATTTTTTGCGTATTTTATTATTTCGTACTTTTCCGATTATGTAAATGCTCAATGGTCTGTAATAGATAATTAGGGTTTACTGCTTTCCACCCTCATTCGTAAACTTATACCCCCATCCCTGAAGTGTTGTAATAGCGTAAGACATTTAATTTCTGCAATTTATTGTTTCCCTTATTACTGTTAGTAATTAGGGTTTGTATAGAAAGATAAAAAGAACAAACAATAGATAACTTAATCTCAAAGACAAATAATTGAAATCAAAACACTTCGCACACACACGCCTCTAGGGTTAACCTCACTAGTTATCCCAAACTAAACAGTCATGTCCCTCGAACATGAGATGCTTTAGCAAAGACCCTTGGTTAAAAGATTGTAGTCCCTCGATGACCCTTTGATGTTGCCTTTGATAAACAATCTTAGTCCCTTACAACAATTGCTAAAGCATCTTACAAGTTGCCTTCTATGACTGTACGATGACTCACGCACGTCCCTCACATTCAATGATATGGCTTCTTACTAACTAATGGTATGATAGCACTATCTAAAGGAGGTGGAAAAGAACAAAGACTTTTTGAGTAGGTAGATCGCTCGTAACCGCTTGCTCACAAACTAAAACAATTTTTCACACCTTACACTTTCAAAACAACTACTTTTCAAAATACTTTATAAACACTCTTGAGGACTGATACAATGGTTATTATAAAGTAAATTGCCTTACATTGGCATTTTCAAACATCTTTTCACAAAATAACATTTTCTTCCAAAATATCTTTTGAGAACAAACATTTTGTATACATTCTCAATGATACGAGAATCATTACAAAATTGCCGCACTTAGGCATTTTTCAAAATATTTTCAAACATACACAAACACAAAGCATTTCAAAAAAGTGATCAAGCGGTTAAGAACCCGTAGATAACTACGAAACCGAACTCAAGAAAATTCTCAAAAGGTCTTTCCTGTTCTTTTCACCTTTTCCTTTATTGGATAAAAGAAAAATCGGCAGCAACTCTTGTGTCATACCCAAATTTGTCCGCCCTTTTATTTCTACAATTAAAAATATTTTAAATATTGTTTTTATAATATTATTTGATTTTTTTATAGATATTCGTTCTCAAGTCTAGTTAAAAATATAATAGTTTATTTCAAATTATTTGTATTTTAAAATAATAAATATTTGCACACCTTTTATATACTTTTAATTGAGTTCATTTATAAATGAGTAACATAACACAATTGATAAAGAATGAAGTTTGCAAATATGAGTTCGCGAGTTCAAATCTCAACTCCTAAACTTTTTTACATTTTTCTGTCTTATTTATTTATTTCCTAGCTTTATTTTTATTTTATCCAATAAAATCACAAAAAATACATTTTCGTTTTAATTTTTATTTTTTTATTTAAATTCCTTTTTAATAATTATTTTATTTTACCATTTTAGTCAAAAATATAAAAAGAAAAGGTGTTGATAAACAAGTAAAGAATAAGGAAATTTTTTGTATAATCTTTTCAAATTTAGCAAAGAGATCAAAAATCAAATAAGCTTTAATTAGTCATTTTTTAATTATTTAATTGATTTTCATAATGAATTATAATTTAATCACTTTTTATTTAATTTTAACCTAAAAATCACTATAAAAGAGACATTGACACTAACATTAGGGGACGAAAACCCACAAACACACTATTGACCCACATATCCACAATTTCTACACTAAGCTTTCTTTTTCTTTTGCTTTAGTAAAAAAATTCTAACCTTACCTTATTTCCTGTTTCACGTTTCTACAGCATAACCACAATTGTCACATACATATTTATTCCTCACATTTAGAAACAACTTTCTCATTCATAAATTACATGATTTTGTTTTCACAATAGATCCTACACGTATATACTTTTCCACCATTCATATACACACACATATATGCTAACCTACTCACAAAACCTTACTTGTAAACAATAAACATCAACTTTCTGATGTACATTTCTGTGCAGATTCCATCACCAATCAATGTTACTGTAAAGGGGAGAAGAGTTTCGAGTCGACGAAGGATCGCCTTGGTTTTGAAACTCACGACCACCATCACATTTTCATGTTTCTGTTGCAGAGAATGTGTTGATTTCTGTTGCTACTTTTTGTGTTATATACAGGTACCAATTTCAAGTCAAGCGTCGCGGTGTTCGAAACCGTAATCAGAGCACATGGAGAACCCTTCCGTTCAACCAACCACAGCCCTCCAAACGCCCAGATTTCGTGACCATCGGTCAGAAGCAACCACCACCGATCTCCAACGAAGGCTTAACCATCACCGCCCTGCTCCCTGCCTCCCTCGTCACTGATCTGTCACAGCTGCGACCACCGCTTGAAGCTGCACCAGACGCGAGTCACACCACCAATCCGCATGTAACAACAACTCCTCCACTGTGAAAACCGCGACCCACATGCAACCGAAGCCCCGCCGTGTATCCCAACGAGTCATCGCCGCATCCGCGCATCCTCAATCGCCGCTCACACACCGCTGTTCCCGCGAATCGCTGTCGATATTCGTTTTTCCGTGGTTTGAGAACAAAAGAATAGGGAAAAGAGTAGAAAAGTCAAAAACTCACAGAAGCATCATTGCCTCCCTTATGCCGTTAGTGTTTTTTTTCTAATTTTTAATTATATCTTTTTCTTCTTTTTTTATTCATTTTGTTTGTATTTATTTTAGTATATAATTTAGAGTTTTCTGGGCCTGGGCCATTTCCCTTACAAACTTTACATTTTTAATCTCTCATTCTATATGTCATTCGCACCCCAGCTTTGAGTTAATTATTTTTTTAATGTAATTTGATTTATTAATTAATGGGTTTTGTTAACCAAGTTTTATTTAACTAAGATGGTTTTAGTTAATTTAGTTTAGTTGTTATTGTGAAGATAATTCATTCTATCATAGGTTTAGATCAACTTGAAGAGTGATCTTACTTAAAATCATTATTATTTTTATACAAATGGCTGATTACAAGCATAAAATCATGCTTTTTAAAATCAAATAGATCTAAACCTTTTTCAAATCAAAATTAATTAAATATCTTGCATCAAACATTAAAATCCATGCAATTTTAAGTATTCTATCTGCGAGCGACACGTGGCTAATATCTGACCACATGATGAGGAAGGTTATATCAGACTCCCTCTGCATTCTTCATGACGAGTAACACATGGCCAACATCTGGTCACATGATGAAGAGACTATATCTGACTCCCCCGCTTTAAACTCAAAAAATCTAATCAACAATTCAAACATTTTTTTAATTAACATAATCAAATTCAAGAACATTTTTGAAAAATGATTAAGGAGAATTGTTATCGAAATTAACTGTGAATTACGTCTACGATCACCCAATTTATACAAATCAGACAAAGTTCAAGAATAAATTCGAAAGCAATTATATGGGACTCTGATTCCTCCTAAAAAGATATGTAGGTATACGATCAAAAGTCGTGGCGAGTCCCCCTAACTAAAATTCATACCCCTTCCATCTATTTAAAATTAAAACTCTTTTCCCTTAAAAAATAGTAAAAAACCTATTCCCTAAAAATCGCGCTTCTAAACCTAGTATTCTTGTGAAAGAGGTAGACGAGGGGTGCCTAACACCTCCCCTTTGTCTAAAACGGAGTCCAAACCTAGAATCTCTGAACTTTGGGGTTATTCCTTTATAATCCTTTCCTTTAAGATAAAAATTAAGGGTGAAGACTCTGATTTAAAAACCAGTTGCAATATCTTGTTATCCGCAACATTTGCAATAAAACGCAAAATCCTAAAGCCAGTTCTCTCACCGTATTACAGAACTGGCCACTTTGCTGGGGAATTACTAAACTAAAAGTGGGGTTATATTAAGAGCTATATCACCTTTATTTCTTTACTTGTTTGCCTTGTTTGCATTATATTTTGGTATATCCAGATCCGAGGGCATTTTAGGTAAGTAATAATAGATCATGCAAACTGTACGACATAGACCAATATGGTTGAAATCATGACTACATTAGTGCGACACATTGGTTTGTGTTGGTGTCTCTTAAGTAAGTCAAGGAGAATATTGGGCTACCGCATGGTGTCATAAGCACTAACTGACTTTAGAATCTTAGTTGACACAATTTAGCCATTAGAAAGTAGTGAGATAGTTGGCTTTGGTGTATACTGAAGTTGGTTGATACTCGATACTACACTCATTGAGATTGGACTTTCGGGATATTTCAGTCGCAATTTAAATGCTTGTGCCGAAACAATGCCTGAGAGAAAGATTAATGATATTGAGAATCTTAGAACCCAGTTACTTCTTTTAAGACAAGTTGAACCAACTAAAACTTCAAGAGGGTACTTACCTATAAACTCCATGAAAGCTTGAACCTGAGGCTTTATGTGTTTTGTTTGTGTTTGATTAATTGTTCTAACATGACATTATAACATCATGAAATATCATTTTCACTAACCATTTCAAGACCTAGGGATTTATCTTTGTTCTACTTTGTAGGTTATGGCCTCCGCTCGCAGAAACACTATCTAGATTAGTTTTGTGAGGATTCCTTCTCAACTTAAAGAGTTAGTCTCAATGGTTCCCGAAAGTTCTCCATTCATCAAAAGGCATGTGTTGTACACCAAAATTTTCCCTCTCACTTATCAAGAATTTACTCACAAGATCTCCCTTGACTCAAGACTGCACTAGGGTTGATCATCTCAAGACACCTCCTTAAGCACTGATGACCATAATTAGGGTTTGAGTTTTCACAAGGAATTTTGAACTTACAATGCCCCATATGACTTTCATGTATCATTATGGACCCCCAAGATCACTCATGTCAAGTTTCAAGCCTTGGATCACACTTTTGCTCAGTCAATTGAGTAGTTGACCTAAAAATTAACTAGATTGGGAAAAAAGTCAACTATGGCCAATTTACAGTCAAAATTCATAATTTGTGATCCACATTAATATTTTAAACTCATATGTATCATTTGATCAAGTTTGGACCATAATTCCTCAAGAAATTTGATCAAATCTTCAAAAGGGCAAAATGGTCAAAATTAGGGTTTTTACTGGGAAAGGGCAATTTCTGATTTTTGACCTAGAAAATGATCAATTTGTTTAAGGCATGATCTCAAGAGTCCAATTGCATCATTTTGACCTAATGACATGGCTCAAAACATTGCAAGTCCAATGGGTTGACAGATGAATTTTGCAGTAAACTGATCAAAAGTCAACTGCATACTGAAAAGTCAAACTTTGACTTTTTGGTCAAATTCAAATGCCAAAGATCACAATTCATCAAAACATGTCAAAATATGAAACTTATTCATCAAGAAATCCAAAATTCAATATTTCATTTTGAAAAGTTAAAATTTCAGAACTTAGAAATTTTTCTAAGTGTGGGAAATTTCTTATTTTTTTCATAACTTTGAGCAAAATTTTCACCATGATGCAAGGTGATTCAAGAGAAACTTCCAACATGAAAGTTGTATATCTCCATGAAATCTACAACTTTTCATAACACAACTTCTTCTAAAAGTGCTTGGATCTCAAGTTATAATTTTAAGAATATGTGGTCATGAAACAAAACACTTAGTGAAATTTTGCCCTAATTTGGTCAGGATTTTGACCCAACTTCATGGCACTTTTAATGCTCCAAGGGGAATATTCAAAAGCAATTCAAAGATGGGTTGTAGAGCATATTACAAGTTATTCAAAATGTTCAAGAACTCCTTGAGATCATTTTTGAGTAGGGAGAATCGAAGAGATGAAGTTAGGGTTTTATCACTTGAATTACAAGTCATTTTGTGATGAACAAAATTCAAATTCAAAGTTATGCTGCATAACCTCTACTTTGCAGGCCTCAAACTTGTTAGGCACTCCATAATTAATTGCTTGTACAACTGTTAGAGGTCTCATCCCAAGCATTCAATACAAGGCCATGCTTTATATCCATTTTGGGAAGAAAGTGCACATAGCCATTTTGATAAAGTGACTTTTTGAACAAAACTTGTTCTTGAGCCTTGCACTTATTCTCTTATGATCATACATGTCTCATAACACAAGAGAAATGTTTTAGACACTTACAATCACCCATCCCATGCTTGTACTACACATTGAAACTTGGTTTCCCACTTTTCTTGAAAATCAAGTAACATAGCAAAAAGCTTAAAACTTGTACTTCTGACTTGCCAAACCACTCAAGACCTTTTGTTTATACATACACAAACCATTTTCCAAAAATTACACACATGCTTAAGCCCTAAAAACACCTAGAACACAAAATCACCAAAAACACTTCAAAACTTGTCATTTTTGAGTTTTGAAGCCAATCCTCAAATCTACTCGTGCGTTTCTTAGCCTTTTGCTTTCAAAAGTTTCTAAACAACATACACAAACAATCCCAACCCCTGCAGCACCACTGTAACACCTCCATCATCATCCACCATTTTCAAAAATAGAGCTTTGCACTTGGACTTCTCCAAAACTCCTCAAGCACTTTCAGCTCAAGCTAAGCATCCCTTTAGCTTCCTGGGAACTTGAGGAAGCTAACCCAATCATTTGAACTCACTGAAAGCTGCTCAAACTTCAAACTTGATACCCTCTTGCAAGGTAAATTTTCTAACTTTGGAACTTTTCATACAGGCATCATCAATGATTTATTTGTGAATGAAACATGTAGATATCATTGCCCTAAAGCTAACCATATTCATAGTTTTCATTAATTTTGTTTGAGCTTAGAGAATTTTAAGATTGAAATTTCTGAGATTTTTAGGGTTCAGATTAGGGCCAATGAAATTCATGTTTGTCTTTGATCTATAGTTTTAATGCTTTACATTTCTGAAATCGTGAGGAAATTTGCTACAAGTTTCATGTTTACAGTTTTCATTTTTGTTGAGGATTGATTGAGTTACAGAGCTGGGCGTGAGGTTGAAGATGAAGTTGGCCTCAGGAACATGTTCACCATATGTATTTATTGTTTGATTTATATAAACGGATGTATAGTCACCTCAGTGGTAGAAGCGCGCGCCTGTAACCAGAGGGATCTGGGTTCGAGCCCTAATGGGGTACCCTTTTGATTTTTTTATTACATTGTTTTGCTTTCTGACTTCTTTTTTGGCAGGCGCTGGGCCTCCTTGGGCCTTGTTGTTTTTGGTTTTGCTTGCTAACCCCCTTGCAGGCTATCAACACCCCTGGCCCAATTTTATTTTCTTTTTCTATTTTTTTATTTTATTTATTTATTTATTTTCTTAAATATTTTCCTAATATTAAAAAAATCATAAAAAATATAAAAATAATAAACTTATATTTTCACATAGTTTATTTATTTTTTCTCACAAAAATTATTTTATTTAATCAATACTTTATTTATTTTACTAATTATCTTTGTAAATTTAATTAAAAATAGGTTTTAGTTATTTTTTT